AGCTACTTGTTCAAGCAATATGTTCTTTATAAATAAATATCGATATGACATTGATTGTGTTCAAGTGTACTTTTCTTGTTAGGGACATAAAGATTATTTAGGATTTCTTGTATTAAGTGTTTAGACAGAGATTCCTCATTGTATTTTTATATGATATGATATGATAACAAAGTTAATTGCTGCTTTGTAAATAATTATGGAGCTTGTTATAAACAATCATATACTCATGAAAGAAATCTGATTGAAGATAATGACAGCAATGATCGTAAGCTACTTGAAAAACGAACAAATCTGAAACAAAAACAAATTACTAATGTTTGCGCACACCATCATGATATGTTAGTTGTAAGATATGAGGGTAATCAAAAAAGTTGCTGTAACCCATTCCTGAGTCACCAAAAGGTGTGTAGAGGTAAAAATTTATATATTTTTATTTCATTAGGTAATATCATTATTAATAAGTCATATAAGTTTTTTTGGTAATAAGATTTGTTCAATATTTCATAATTATTAATATAACAAATTGTATAGTAATATAATTACATAATATATATATTTAATGTCATTTAAGTAATGCAGTTTCTTTCTTTTTAAGCCTCTCTACGTGTGATTACAATGCATTCTGTGTTAGAAGTAGAAACCATAGGTTTAAATCTTATAGGGGAGACCGGGGCTAGTTGGCTCGGTTTTTACTCTATGAGCTCTGTAGCCCTAATAGCACACTTTTTTGAAAATATTAAAGTGTAGTCTCAAAGCGTATGAACTTGGGTAACTTATAAAAGTTTCATGGATTTACAAAAAAAAATTCTTGGGGCCTTACGGGGCCCTCAAAAAAAAAAAAAAAAATTGCGCCAACTTACCCCCACCACGGGGTAAGTTGACGCAAACTATAAACGTGATTATTAATGTACTATTAAGTGCAAAATTAATAGAAATTTTTTTACCTATTAATTTTGGCAACAATTTAAGCTAATAATTTGATATTATTTTTAGCTTGTGCTAAATATTAGTACGTATAACAGCCAAAACAGCAGCCCTCCTTTTTACCTGTTACAAAAAACCTAAAAAAAAAAATTTTTATAATTTTTTTTTGTAAGAATAAGTTTTTTCAATATTGTTAAAAATTAAAAAAATTAAAAAAATTATTTTTATAAAAATAAATATTTTTCTCCATAGTAAATGCTATGAGCCAACTTACCCCGTAAAAATTTTGTCAACTTACCCCGAAGGCTTTTTTTTCAATAAACAGTCTATAGATCCTGAAAAACGGCAACTTTTTAAAAAAGTCAAACTGAATATAGTAAACCAATTGTGGCTAGAACTTTTACAATAATTTTTTTTCCATTTGACTAACTATTTTCTTTGTAAAGTAAAAAGGAAGCGATGTTTCAAAAGTTACGTTTTTGTCCAAAAAACACTTAAATCTTAATATCTCCCATGCGCATGCGCGAATCCTGACAATACTACATTGAATGATGAAACAGTCAATTAGGAAGATTCTGTGTAATTTTTATCACTTTCTGATGAAAGGCTTTAAAGATAAACGCAATTCGTCAACTTACCCCTGCGGCCAACTAGCCCCGGTCTCCCCTACCTGGAAAAAATCTGTGTTCAACTTGTCGAAGTAAAGTTATGACATATTTATCAAAAAATATAAGTGAAAACAAAAATGATAAAGATTTTGATATTGTTAATGAAAGATCCATTCAAAATAAAAAAGAAAGTGTACATACACACTTTGCATCTGCCGGAGTATCTCCAATTAAGGTCAAAGGATTGCACAAGTTAGGTAAAATCAGAGAAGGTAAACAAAAATTGACAGCATTAACAACCTTCATTAAAAAAAAGGTAGCCTTTTTTCCTTAATATATCAGAAGAAAGTTTTGAAGAACAGTCAAGTTTTAATAATGAGTATATGTAAAAAGCAAACTTGTTTGATAACATCATGATGGTATTGTTAACTAACAAAGTTGCAGAGTCTACATCAACATCACAAAAAGTACAACTTGCGGCACTTGCTCCAACAGACTGGTCAATAAAAAAGGTCTGAAACATTGCATGTAACAAACTATGTAGCTCGAACTGCACGTAAACTAACATTAGAAAAAGGTATTTTAACCATGCCTAATCCTAAACTAGGAAACGCTATTCCTGATGTAATAGTTCAACTGGTCAAGACCTTTTACGAAGACGATGAACATAGCCGTATAATGCCTGGTAAAAAGGACTATTTAAGCATAAAGAAAAATGTCCACATGCAAAAACGTTTGCTCTTATGTAATTTAAAGGAATTGTTTGTTGCCTTTAAAACCAAGTACCCAGAAATAAAAATTGGATTTTCAAGGTTTTGCACCTTGCGACCTAAATGGTGTATTACTGTTGGTGCCTCAGGAACACATTCTGTGTGCGTCTGTGCTATTCATCAGAATTTGAAACTACTTTTAAATCCTCTTGGCCTCTTGGTGTGACATACATAAAATTGTTACTTTATATTGTCTGTGATATAACTAATAAAAACTGTATGATGAGGAAATGTGAAAATCGCCCAGCAACTATGAATGCATTGGTTGAAAAACTTTATGATATACTTGGAGAATTTGCAGATGATGATGAGATTGAATTTGATCAACGGATAACAACAGATAGGTCAAACTTGACACATAATAAAGAGCCAGTGTTTGAATACATTGAATTAGTATGTAGAAAACTGGAAAAACTTGCACCACATTCGTATTTAGCAAAGAGTCAAGCATTATACCTGAAATCAAGGAAGGAAGATATGAATGAGGTAACAGCATTATTTCTGGGTGATTTTTCGGAAAACTATAAATTTGTAGTTTAGGATGAAGTGCAAAGCTTTCATTGGACAAATTTACAATATATACTTCATCCAGTGATTATTTATTTCAAAAAAGAAAGCATTCTCAAGCACAAATCCTATTGTATTATTTTGGATCCATGATGTAAACATGGTTTATAAAACTATTGAGGTTGTTTGCAATGATATATAAACAAATTTGCCTCAAATAAAAAATATTGAATACTTTTCAGATGGGTGTGCAGGTCAATATAAGAATTGCAAAAGTTTTTTAAAACTTTGTTTCCATTGTGAAGATTTTGGTTTTACTGCTAAATGGAGCTTTTTTGCAACCAGTCACGGTAAACAACCTTGTGATGGGATAGGTGGTACAGTCAAACGTCTGGCCACACTAGCAATTTTGCAAAGAGATATGGGTAATTATATTTCATCTCCACAAACAATGTATAAATATTGCAATGAAAACATTGAAGGCATAAATTTCATATATATTTCATCAGAAGATTTAACTTTGGTGAGAACAGCTCTTAAAGAACGATTGGATACTGCTAATACAATACCTGGAACACGTAGTTACCATCAGTTTTTACCACTTGGCCATCAAAAGGTAAATTATTATTTTTTAATTATACCTTTTACCATATTTTAAAATACACGCATAAAATACGTTTAAATTTTACGCATAACTTTTATTGTTAAACTCAAATGAATACTAGATTTTTGCAGAATCATTATCAAAAATATTTGTATTTTATTTTATTTCCTCTGCATTTGCTTTCTATGCATTTAATTAAACGTGTTTGATAAGCAAAACGAAATAATTGCATATGCTACTATTTTGTTTAGATAGGCACTAAGCTATGCAGTGTTGATGAAGAATTTGCTTTAATTCATGACTTTGGAAATATTCAGATAACAACTGTAAACCTAGTACCAGATGATTATGCCTGTGCTTCCTATGAGCAAAAGTGGTGGATAGGAGTCAATGAAGATATTAATTTAGAAGAAAAAGATGTGCTTGTAAAATTTATGTGTCCTAATGGTCCTGCACGGTCGTTTAAATAGCCATCAAAGGAAAGCCAATGCTGGACTCCTGATGTCCACATTATTTGCAAAGTTGAGGTACCGATAACAAAAACAGGACTTTGCTACTATTTAGCCAAAGAGGACTTTAAAAAAATTATTTTCCTAAGAAAGTAGAGATTTTTATATTTATGAGTCTATTTTGTCTTATCCATTCTTTTTTTAAATATTATGTTTTGTGAACCAATTTGTAAATAATGTGAATGTAGAGCATATAAAAAATGACTAAAGTTTAGTATTTTTTTTTTTTAAATTTAAATTTTGTTGTAAATATCATATGAAAATAAAAAAGATATTTAAGTCACTAAATTTTTAGTTTCTAATATGATTGATTGGTAAAAGGTAGGGTTATATTAAGTGTCTAATTTAAAAAATATTAAAAGTTTTGTGTCTATATCAAACATCATTAGTTCCTCAAGTAAATATAAGGCCAAAACAAAATTGGTTCGAAAAGTAGGTGTTGATCTTATTTTTGAGAAGACTGAAATTAAATTTTTTTTATATCAGTCAGATTTTTTTTATAGCCATAATTGTCAATGTCCTTTTTTCTTGGCATTATAAAGTGTATTTTATGGATCTTAAAATAAGCATCATTCCCTTGCTTTGACATATAAAAAACTATATTTTTCGGATTTAAGCTCTTTTGGTACAAAGGTTTTAAGCTCTTTTGGTACAAAGTTTCAAAATTGTGGCAACATATGCATGCCTAAAGGCAATCATCAGCCATGTAATACAATACAAGAAAAAAAAAACCGTTAAAATATAAAGTTACAGTGGAGTGTGCTTGGTCGTCAAAACAAAACAAAAACAAAAAGATAAGAAAAAAACTAAAAACGGCTGCCTAATCACCCGTATCGAAATTCGAAAGGAGGAATTTGCTTTTATGTCTACATTTAGATACTAATTTATTCCTCTTATTTAATAAGTTATCATAGGTGTACGATATTATGAAATACTTTTCATATAGACATAAGTTGCATCGTTTTATTATAGGATGTAAAAATTTCTCAAAAAAATCTGCACCTTATATCACAAAAATTTTTGAAACTTGGCACAAATATATATATCTATATCTATCTATCTACTTATATATATATATATATATATATATATATATATATATATATATATATATATATATATATATATATATATATATATATATATATATATATATATATATATATATATATATATATATATATATATATATATATATATATATATATATATGAGCTTTTCTTTCTATATTTTGTTATTACAGTGATACGTTAAAATAATTTATTTTTAAAAAAAAGTTTTCTCTAGGGGCCGAAATACAAGTAACTTTAAGACCATTTCTAAATCGAAATTTTCGAAAAGTAATTTTTCTCTACGGTGCGAATTAAATGTAATTTTGAGAACATAACAAAATAACAAGGAAAAACATACATCCTCTAAACATTTCCAAATTTTGTACCACTGCAGAAAAAATTACCTTATATGGATATTATAACTTATATCGAAACTTGCGCTTTACAACTTAAAAAACTTAAAAAACCAACAGAGGCATTAACTCTACGACAAAACTGTTCACAATTTTTAACGAATTCGCTAAAATTAAGATTAAAAGATAATTTAACTAAGCAACACCGTCTTTCCATAAACAAGTTAAAAAACAACTTTAATATTAAGATATCCCCTTTCAATAAAGGCACAGGTTTCACATGCTTAAACCAAAAAGATGCATCTCTCAAATTAGAAGAATAAATAAAAAATAGCAAAATTATTGATTATGATCCAACATCCACATTGACTAAGTTTCAAAGACGATTACTAAATTTCAAAGACGATTGTGCAAATTAAGAAAAGAAGGTAGGCTAGACACAAATACGTACTTTTAAATGTATCAATCAGATTGTAACCCACCAAGGGTTTACAGAATGATTAAAGCTCACAAACCAGAAAAAGATTACCCAATGCGTCCTGTTGTATCAACAATCAACACACCACCTTATGGAACATCTGATTATCTTATTAAAATTAAAAGTAGTCTTATGAATTCTAATAGTTTTGTAAATGAAGCTTAGCAATGGATAGTAGATCTTAACGAAGTTCAAGTTTCATTTGATATAGTCAATTTATATCCATCCATACCCATTGACGAAGCAATTCCGGTTACTATTGATATATTGAACGCTGACATTGATGACTTAAAAACTCGAATTAAACTTAGTCTTGCAGACATACACCAATTAATTGACCTTTCATTAAGTATATGCAATCTTTTATATAAAAACAATATCCGAATAAAACCTAAATAATGTCCTATAGATTTATCTTTAATGGTTATTATGGCGAAAGCGTTTTTACAAAAAATAGAAAGAAAAGCTCTTAACATAGCAGTTATTCATAAATTCATATATATATATATATATATATATACATGTATATATATACCTGTAAATATATACATATATATATATATATATGTATATATATATATATATATATATATATATATATATATATATATATATATATATATATATATATATATATATATATATATATATACATGTATATATATACATGTAAATATATACATATATATATATATATATATATATATATATATATATATATATATATATATATATATATATATATATATATATATATATATATATGTATATATATATATATGTATATAAATATATATATATTATATATATATATATATATATATATATATATATATATATATATATATATATATATATATGTATATATATATATATATATATATATGTATATGTATATATGTATATATATATATATATATATATATATATATATATATATATATATATATATAAAAATATATATATATATATATATATATATATATATATATATATATATATATATATATATATATATATATATATATATATATATATATATATATATATATATATATATATATATATATGTTGATTGGTTACACCCCAAAACATTTTCTGACGCCCCAGAATATCGAAATCGGAAAATAAAAGAGTCACTCGAACTAAGTAAGACGAGGGTTCGACAGGAATTAAGATATGGTGATGTGGTTCTCAATCACAATGACGGTGATAACATGACAACATGTTTGTTTTGTATAAGTTTATAC